GCAATGTCTCAACTTCCAGCTCAGGACACGCTGGGGAGCTCAGAGGGGCTAAGCAAGAGCCCCAGCACTTGCTGGACTCCATCCTTAAGTTTATGTCTAAGAGCCAAGCCTCAGCTTTCCAAGGTCAGCACCAGAAGCCCGAATGACACAGGAACAGTCCTAGTTCCAGCTCAGCTCCATGTGAAGCTACAGGGGAAAATAAACCAGAGAACATCCCCCAGTCCCAGCTCAGGAGTCAGGACCTGAGCCAAGATGCTGCTGTTTGCACTGTCATGTTGCTCCAGCCTGGATCCAAGGTGGCACCAAGCAATGCCAGCAGGATCAGCACCTCTGGCTCCCACAGACCCAGCTCAGGGGGCTCAGCACACAGAGAGTCAGAGCCCGAGGGTCCCACCAAGGACCTGAGGTGATGTCCCTGTGGGAAGTGAGGTTAATTATATCTAGTAGTCCAACATGAGAACATTTTGGAAGAAATTCTTTACTGGGAGGGTGGGGAGGCCCTGGTACAGGTTGGCCAGAGAAGCTGTGGCTGCCCCTGGATCTCTGGAAGCATCCCAAGGCCAGGTTGGAGCAACCTGGACTAATGGAAGGTGTCCCTGCCCATGGCAGGGGGTTGGAACGAGATGGGCTTTAAGTTCCCTTCCAACTCAAACCATTCCGTGATTCCACGACCTGCAAGCATTCAAGACACAAGATTCCTAACCCTAAAAAAAAAAAAAAAACCCAGGCAGTGAGGACCTTTGGCTCCACAGTTCCAGACAAACCTGGGCACGGGGAGGAGATGGCAGGGAACGGCCACGGCACGGTGCCAGTGCAGTAAATGGATCAGGCAGGTACACCCAGAGCAACACTAATCCCAGACACTGGCATGGAAGGAGTTGATCAAGGATTTAGGGAACACATCTTAATTACAGTCCTGCTTTAATCCCAGTCAGGAGCTGCTTAGTAGAAACACGACCCAATCTGATGCTTCGCTCCATTTTTCTTGGGTTAAACAGCCCTGTAATCTCTCTGAACACACATGATTACATTTAATGGGAGTTTCATATCTGCTCTAGTTCTGCATAAAAGCCCAGACCGGGTGATTAATTGTTGTCTGAGATAGAACATCTCTCAGGTTTCCAGCAGGGCACTGCTATGTACCAGTCCCAACATGCCTGATAAAACCTCAGGCGCTGAGGAACGACCTAGGAAGCAAATATATACATCCAGAAGGAAACAAAAAGACCGATGATACAATTTGCAGACGACACAAAAGCTGGCAGAGTAACGAGCCGGGAAATCAAGCAGAGAACGATTCCTCGGAAATCTCCATCCTCCCCACCAACTTTGCAGTGCAGGAGAACCAAGAGTGGAGGTTCAGTGATGGGGAGCATCGGCCACAGCTGTGGACACCTGAGCTCCCAAGGAAATAACTCTGCATGCAGGGACAACTCCTGCTCTAACACTGAGGAAGAAGACCTGCTCCAACCTCCCAGGGTACAAGTGGGAGATTCTTACAGCGGTGATATAATTTTATGTGCATCTAAAGTGGCGAGGAGACAGCAAGAACACTGCAGCTACACCTGTGTGGGCAGCCAGGGCTGCTTTAATTTATCAAACGCTGTTTAAAAATTCCTTGAACGTTATCAAGTGCTGTTTAAAAATCCTTCAAAAAGCTGCAAACGCAGCTCGAGAGCAGGAAAAGGGTTTTTCAAGAGTGACAGACTTGCAGAGCTCAAGCTGTTTAACCAAAAGGAAGATTAAGCAGTGACTTAATCCCAGGCTGTATCTGAAGCATGAGGTGACACCAGGTGTTAAAGGACACTGCAGAGGAGCACGGGGAAGGAAAGGACAGCAAAACATCCTCAGGCTGGGACCAAGAACTGCTGTAAAAATGATTTGCAATTCAGATAATCACAAGGACTCACCCTTGGCTGAGCACAGGGAAAGGGGGTGAAGTTATAGAGCCCACGTTTACGGTGTGTGACACAAGAAAACCTCCCTGTTATCCATCCTCACTCCCAGTGACCAGAGCTGGAATATTACAGGCCACCACTAGTTTCCTATCACTCAAAAAAAAACCCAAATAAAATAATTATAAAATAAAAAAAAAATTAATAAAAACCAAACAAAAACAAAACTAACAAATAAACACAGCTGAAATGGACACAATATTCACTAAAGAGCAACAAACTTCAACTAAGTGTAATATAAATTAGAGCACTCAGGTGTCACAGCTTAGCCAAGAGGTGGCTTTAACCTAGAAAGGGTTTCTCTTCCCCTTTCTGATCCTGCAGAATTAAGCGATTCTTCAAAACCCACACAGAGAGGAGATCCAAAAATACTCCACAAAATCAAGTGTAACACCAGCAGGGAAGAAAAAAGAGGAATTAGTACAGCAGAAGGAAGTGGAATTAGGAGCAATGGGTATAATTAGTAGAGGCTGAATAGCAGGAAAGACATCCTGAAGTGGATTATTTTGATTCCAGGAGCATCATGGGCTCGAGGGGATCCCCACAGCCTCACTGAAGGCGCTCGGGGTCCTTCAAACACGACAGTCCCTGCCAGGAAAAACCGGGGAGAAGAGACCTGGATGGCCCCAGAGCCAGAGATGGGACTGGCCCAGCTCATCACACACACACCGGGGCAGTTTATGTATTTATTTAGGAAACAGAGCCTGTCCCCGAGGAGGGGCAGGCTCGGCCCCACATCTGCACAGCGCCGGCACAATGGAGTTCCGGCCCATGCCACCGACTCCCAGAATCCCGGCCAGAACTGAGCACAAAAACAGGGCTGGAAGGGACTTCAAGGAAGGAGGAATCTCATCCTTCCCCTGCCCCAGGGCAAGAGTTACTACACTTGCTATTTTTCTAAACACAAAACTCTCTCCCTGCTGGGTGGGACACAAACCCACCCAGACAGATGAATTAGCTGGACCTTCCGCTCCATCTCTTAACCCCTCCAATCCCCCCTCCCGCGATGGCAACCCGGGACACCACGGAGCGGCTGCACCCGGAATATCTCGCTCTGCCCAGTCAGAAAGTGATAAAAGCACAGCTCTGCGAACAAGTCCTGGCAGAGCAGCCTAGCCCTGAGCTGCGCTTGGGGAAGGCTGTTCCTAGAAGGGAAGCCAGCCCGGCTCCTGGAGACACATTTCTTCCATGATGCCTACAAGAAATGAGTCACCTTTTTTTTTTTTTTCTCCCCTTCAAAGTTTCCACCATCGTCTTTTCCAGACTCTCCAGCACACCGTGTTTGCCCTGAGCTGGTAAAGTTTCAACTCTAAAAATCCTTGGAGCAGGTAGAGCTTATGATTATATCATTAATAATATTCCTAATGAAATATCACCACGCTCCAGAAGTTAATGCAAGCAAAGCCCAAACCTTTCTCTGCCCAGACACTTATTAATGTTTCTCCTGTGGGTATGCAAAGATCAACATTAAACCCAACTCATCATCTAACCTTAATACTGAGAAACAAGATCAACTGCACTTAGTCCTCTTAAATGGAAAAAAAAAAAAAACCAAAAAACACCCACACTCTTCATTCTGGCAGTTCCCACACATTCAAACCAGTTTTTTCAGTTTTGTTAATAAATCTAATTCTCAGCATCTCCTACTGTTCAGTTTACCTCGAAACGTTTCATGGAGAACTTCAAGAAGAAAACTGCAAGAAGTCACAGAAATGAAGAAGCGGGCAAGTCTGAGGTAAATCCGGCGCTCCACCGCTCCACAAATTAAAAAGCTTTCCCATCTTCATCCTGTGCCAGCACTGCAGCACCACTGCAAGTCACACAGCCTTAAAACCGTTTCTTTTGAAAGGCGGCCACTCAAGCCATTTAAAACCGTGACTTTGTAAACCTTAAGAAACAAAGGGCCATTGCAGAGGGGGGTGGGACGGGCGGCTCCAGCCCTGATTGTCCCCAAACACTCCCACCTGGTGCCGTGATTCCAACATTGAAAGCACCTGTGTAGGCGCGGAGCGGTTGGAAGGGGGAAGGTGAAACCCAGGGCAGCACCTCGTTCCTTTCACGGCAAGCACCACACTTAGCACTGAATTTAACACAATTGCTTAACCATTTTGCAGCTGAGCGACCCTGGTAACACCCCTCCACCTTCCCCCACCTGAGCAACGTGGTTACACCGAGACAGAAATATCCTCCATCCTTTTGTACCGTCGATATTCCAGAGGATAAAACACGCGCACCTGTGCTCGGCAAACATTCTGGGTTGACACAAAGTTCTCTGGAGAACTTCTGTGTTGATTTCGACAGGGGGAAGGAGGGATGAGTTATCTCAGCATCTCAGGACGGCAATGCTAATGTGGTCCAGCTAAAAGGAACAGGTCTTAGATGTGCATAATTCACCTAAAATACCATATTTTTAAAGAAATCGAGTGATGGGTTACACAGCCAGCTGCCACATCTTTTAGATTAACAACACAGCACAAGCCACTGGCACAAAACCGACCCCGCACCACAAACACACACCTAAAGGGGTGAAACGCCAGAGCCGGGGCGATGGGAAGGAGCTGCTGGCAAAGGGAATGATGGGCAGCACTCCTGGGCAGGAGCCACGTCCATCTGCGCTGCCCGGGCACCGGGGGAGCTCCGCATCTCCCGCAGGCGAAGCCACGGGCTCTCCCAGCCCGAGGATTCTGCGAGAACCGCCGGGGAGAAGGTGCTTAACAGCAGAACAAAGGATCCATTAGGCAAACAAGAGGCATCAACTCCTGTCTCGGCCGGGACGGTGATCGCGCCCCGTCCCCCCGCGGCGCCCACGATCGACCACGGCTCGGGCGAAACCCCACGGAAAACTGACCGAGAGGGATGTAAAACCCCCAGCGGGATGACTCTGACAGATGCCCGCAGGAAGCCCGTCCTTGCCCGAGGGGCGCAGGGGTGGGACGCGCCCCGGAGGGGCTCGGGGGGCACCGCGGGGACCGCTGTGAACCACCCCCCATCCCCATCCCCATCCCCCGGCCGTGCCCCCGCGGCATCCCGGGCAGGGTCGCGCACCTGAGCGTGGGGCCGATGCAGGCCGTGTCCGTGCTCTCGATCTCCCGCAGGATCCGCTCGTGCTCCGCCGCCGTCTCCAGGCTCTCCAGCTCCGCCATCTTCCCCCGCTCCATCGGGGCCGCTCCACCTGCCCTGCCCTGCCCTGCCCTGCCCGGCCCGGCCCTCCCCGCTCCGGGCGGCGGCGGCGGCGGCAGCGCCGGGGCCGCTCCAGCCCCAGCCCCGCTCCGGCCCCGCCGCGCCCGGCACGCCGGGAAATGTAGTGCGGGACAGCGGGGCCGGGCCGCGCCGGCGCTCCGGGGCAGCGGCAGCAGGGAGGGAGGGAGGCAGGATGGGCAGCAGGGAAGGGGCGAGGCGGCGGTGGCACCGCCGAGCGGGCACCGCGGCCGGGGCACAGCCGGGGCGATGTCAGAACGCCCCGCGATGAGTCGCAGCCCCGCGGTGGTGACACGCGTCCATCTCCGGGGCACACGGTCCCGTGGAAGGCAACCCGTGATCCCTCCCTCTTGGGGGGGACACAGCCCCGTGGTCATGACATCCATCATCAGGGCACATGGTCCCACGGAAGGGACCCCGTGATCCCCTCCCTCTTGGGGGACACAGCCCCATGGAAGGGACCCCGGGACCCCGTGATCCCCTCCCTCTTGGTGGGGACACAGCCCCGTGGTCATGACATCCATCATCAGGGCACATGGTCCCGTGGAAGGGACCCCATGATCCCCTCTCTCCTGGGGGACACAGCCCCGTGGTCATGACATCCATCATCAGGGCACACAGCCCCATGAAAGGGACCCCATGATCCCCTCCCTCTTGGGGGACACAGCCCCATGGAAGGGACCCCGGGACCCCATGATCCCCTCCCTCTTGGGGAACACAGCCCCGTGGTCATGACATCCATCATCAGGGCACATGGTCCCATGGAAGGGACCCCGTGATCCCTCTCCCTCTTGTGGGGTACACAGCCCCATGGAAGGGACCCCATGATCCCCTCCCTCATGGGAGGACAGCCCCCTGGTCACGACATCCATCATCAGGGCACACGGTCCAGTGGAAGGCTCTCCGTGATCCCCTCCCTCTTGGGGACACAGCCCCATGGAAGGGACCCCGTTATCCCCTCCCTCTTGGGGTGATACAGCCCCATGAAAGGGACCCCATGATCCCCTCCCTCCTGGGGAGACACAGCCCCGTGGTGGTGACGCCCATCCTGTCCCTCAGCCCTGTAAACGATATCACTCCCACCTTAAAAAGGTGCCACTGACTGCGCTCCCAAAGGAAGCTCCTGCTGACACCAAACCACCTTTGAGCTTGATCCTGAACCATCCCCCCCTTCCCCCCGAGCTGAGTGACCCAAGGACACAGCAGAGCTTTCCCTGAAAAACACCATTATCCTGCAGAAACATGCTGGGATATCAAGGTCTCCTCACCGTTCAAGGCTAGCCCTCTCAGCGCAAATCCTTCCTTTGGAGGCAGCTGGTGGTTGTTGTTGTCAACTTGTACCATGAAAACGGCGCTGGAAGGTCCTGTTCCCAACCACGTTATCAGGTACAGCAGAGCTGTCCTTGCATGGGAATCCCACACTCTGCCAGGGGCACGGTGGGATGAGGAGCAGGATCAAGCCCAGGCTGTGGTTGCCACCGTGGGTTTCTGCATTTGCTTTTGTTGTTTCTTCTTCTGAGATATAAATAATCTACCCGGATTGTATGAGCACCCCCCGGGCCTCCCTCACTGCTGCTTGTGAGGGTTGGACAGTGCTGGGCTGAATAACATGGAATCATGGAATGGTTCGGGTGGGAAGGAACCTTAAAGATTATCTCATTCCAACCTCTCTGACAAAGGCAGAGACGCCTGTATTGTCACTTAATTAAATGAGAAAGGGGTAAAATAACTTCCCTAAATGGAGCACCGTGACTGGAACAACACAGGAGTGGCCAGGAGAGCTTGGTGAAAACTTAGAATCATTAAGAATTGTTTACAGTGGGAAAAGACCTGTCAGATCATCAAGTCCAAGCATTCCCCCAAGCACTGCCAAGGCCACCGCTGTCCCATGTCCCCAGGTACCACATCCACAGGGATTTTAAATCCCTCCAGGTATGGGGATCCACCACTGCCCTGGGCAGCTGTGCCAGGGCTGGACAACCCTTTGGGTGATGATATTTTCCCCAATATCCAACTTAAACCTTCCCTGGCACAGCTTGAGGCCATTTCCTCTCCTCCTGTCCCTGTTCCCTGGGAACAGAGCCCGTTCCCCCCCAGCTCCCCCCTCCTGTCAGGGAGTTGCAGAGCCAGAAGGTCCCCCCTGAGCCTCCTTTTCTCCAGGCTGGGCCCCCCCCAGCTCCCTCAGCTGCTCCTCATCAGACTTGTGCTCCAGTTTGATGAGCCCACACGGAATTCCCCAGCCCATCGTGCCTGTGGTTCCCAAACCCGGTGCCGTGCGAGACCAGCTGGATGACGTCCTGGATGTGTTGACACCACGAGGAAATCCGATGGCTGTCGCCATGGAGATCTGGTAGGAGCTTTCCGAGGACCAAGAGAGGCAAAGACACACGACAGCAGGAGAAGGCAAGGGGATGGGAATAGCGGGGGAATCCCGACCCGGGGGTTGGATCAGCAGTTGGATCGTGGGGAAGCACAGCACAGCCTCCTCCGGCTGCTGAGCAGAGGCGAGCTGGGACATCCCCGGAGAAGGCTGGAGCTCCCAGCAATCCTTCGTGGCAAAACAAGGGCAATCCTTAAGGCGTCACCCTGATGGCTGCTGAGGAGCAGATCATCGCTGATTTAAACTGCTCTGGGGTTCAGACCGCTGGGATGAGCTGCCTGTGGCTCTGAGAATGCTCGGTGCGTGATACAAACCCAGCTCCAGTGCCGAATCTGGGGATCCCACCATCCACCACTGTTCACAGCTAAGAGGATTATTGTTATCCTTCAAATTAGTGGGGCTGGTGCTGCAGGGGCCTGAGCCAATATTCCTGAAGTCAGCGGTAACTATTGCTCTGTCTCAGCTGAGATTGTTAAACAGGATTAAACACCAGTGGTCCAAGAGTGAGTGGCTGGCAACGATCCTTAATGGGTTTAATTACAGGATGAGAACTGCTGTGGATGACACCAATGCCAGGGTCAATCCTGAGTGCTCCATGAGGGAACGGTGTTACCACAAATAAAGACCTCTGAAACGAGGTCTGGTTTTCTCTGGGGTGAGGATGCTGCTCAGTCCACTGGGTTATGATAAAAGGGGGTTGAGAACAGAGGTGGGAATTTATAATCAATCATGGAATCATTGGATGGTTTGGCTTGGAAGGGAACTTAAAGATCATCTCATTCCACCCCCTGCCATGGGCAGGGACACCTTCCACTACCCCAGTTGTTCCAACCTGGCCTTGGATACCTCCAGGGATCCAGGGGCAGCCACAGCTTCTCTGCCCAACCTGTGCCAGGGCCTCCCTACCCTTCCAGTAAAGAATTTCTTTTTAAACCTCTAATCTAAATCTCTCTTTTTAGTTTTAAATCATTCCCCTTTGTCCCATCGCTATCTGCTTGTGTAAAAAAGTCAGTCTCCCTTTTTTTTATAAGCCCCTTTAGGCCCTGCCAGGGGCTCTCAGGTCTCCCTGGAGCCTTCTCTTCTCCAGGGGAACCCCCCCAGCTCTCCCAGCCTGGCTCCAGAGCAGAGGGGCTCCAGCCCTGGCAGCATCTCCGGGGCCTCCTCTGGACTCTCTGCAGCAGCTCCACGTCCTTGTGCTGTTGTTCCCAGGGCTGGGGCAGCTCTGCAGGGGGGTCCCACTGAGGGGGCAGAGGGGCAGAATCCCCCCCTGTCCTGCTGCCCACGCTGGGGGATCAGCCCGGGATGGGGATCAGCCGAGGATGTTGTTATCAAGGAGCAGAAATCAAGTAACTCAGCCAAACAAAGCACAAGGTGATTATCACCCATCTGCTCCTCCTCCCTGTTGTGTGAGCACCATTTCGAGCCCCGCTGGCCTCAGGGTCACCCTGAGCCTGATGTTCAGCTGATTCCCCACCCTCACCTTCAATTCCCGTCGCTGCCACCGGGGATAAAATTTTCCGTTCTGTAAGAAAAGCTCCATTCTTTGTCCCTGGACACGTGGGATTTGGTCACCTTCACATGAATATTCATGGCTTGCATCTGCCTTCGGGAGCAGCCCGGGATTTGTCCTTGTTATTTGCTGCCACACAAACTTTGTACCATTTGAAAGCCTGTCCGCAAGAAGTTTATTTATTCTTACCAGTCACTGACACAAACAAGCTGAATGTGTATTGTTCTGATTTATTAATCAAATCATCATGCAGGACCAACACAAATGCATCAAAGATGCCTGTTCCCAGCTCATAATCTCCTTGAAAAATGACACAGAGTTTGCCTGACAGATCCTATTTTCCTTAAGCCCATCTGGCTGACGTTAACTCTTTTATGTTCCCTTAATTTCCTACTAATGAAGTTCCATGTAATTGGGTTTAGTGGAATTGACAACAGCCTGATAGTGCTTTAAAAACTCTCCCTTTTAATTACTGACCTCTCAGTGTTTTCCAGGCTTCCAGAAGTTCCTTAGTGTTCCAAAACTTCTTAAAAAATCAGTTTAACAGGTCAGGAATCTGGAGGAGCCTTTCCATAGCCTCTTGTGCAGGTTCCCTGCTGGCTCAAGGATCTGCCTCTGTCTGTGACTGCTCAGTTGTTTCATCACTGCTGAAACGAAAAGTCATCATCACTGTCTACAAATTACAGATTTGGGTTCTTCCCAAATTCTGAACCAGTTGTCCCGAATCACCGTTATCAGAATTTCTTTCCTTTTTGTTTTGTTTTTTGTGTGCGTTTGTTTGTTTGTTTGGTTTTTTTAACCCTGAACGAACTCTTACAGGTCGTGTTTATTTTGGGTTCTCATTTGGTGCTTTCCATCCATTTTCAACACCTCCTGACCAGCCTCCTGCAGGGACCTCAAGCAGCTTCTCTGGGCACATCCCTTCTTTTGGAATGTGGGCTGGAGTCCTGGGGTTGCCCCCACAGTGTCCTCCTGCTCTCCCTCCTGCCTTCACCAAACCCTCTGCCCACAGCCTGGGCACTCTCAGCTTCCTCCTCCCCTTGCGTTTCCTGGACCAGGAAAACCACGTGGGATTTCCAAAGCAGTAACAACGCCCCGGGTGCTGACTAAGCCCACGAGTCACTGATCCTGTTTGCTCTGGGCGTGCAGCAGCCTGGCTTCCTTCTCAAAGGCTGACCTTTATCCCCCTCCACTCCAATCCCAGGGGATAAGCACACCCCTGCTGCCCGGAGAGGTGCCTGCATCTCATTTATCCCCCTCTCTCCACTGCCTTCCCCATTTTTGCCGAGCGGTGCCAAATGAAAGCACCCGCCCTGTGCCCGTGAAATGCAACCTTGCCCTTTCCAGGGGGAAAGCTCACGGCTTGGCTGCCCTTTTCATGGGAAGGGGAGAGGGCTGGAGCAGGGATGGAGAGGCAGAAGAAGTGAGGAACCACGGGGAGCTGCTCCCGCTTTCTGGAGGGTGGGAGAAGCGCTGTCAGCAGATGCCACCTCGGAGAAGGGCCACGGCTCCCTCTGAGCTGGTTGTCACCATCCCACACACTCTGATGCCACCCACAGCAGTGGCAGCAGCCGGTCTGGATTGCCAGAGGCTCCGGATGGTGATTTATAGGGATTGCAGCCTGGTGCTGCTGCTCCCGGGCAGGTGCCCTCGCCTAGACCTGGCTCCCCGTGGTTTATTGCTCCTACAAACATTCCTCCACACACATCCACAACCACAATATAATCCAGCCTTCCACAAGGTATTTATGGAGGGTAAATCCTCATTTTCCAGCCATTAGGCTCTGTACTTAAAATCCTGCGCAGCTTTACTTTTCGGCACCGACATAAATTTTTAAACCTCTCTAATATTATTGTGCTGTTCCCTAAATCCCTGACTGGGACATACCTGGATGCTTTTAATCATGACTCTTGTTTTCACATCCATTTTATTTCAGCTTTTCATCTGAATACCTGAAATTAATAGCTCAGACAGACTGAAACAGTGTCAAGATGAACTCCAGCCATGGAGCTCTGGCTTCAGCCTTTGAGGAGGACTTTTCAGATCTAAGTTTCTCCTCTAACTGAATACGTTTTGGGGACCTCTGGTGGCAATTTTGGGGTGAAGATCTTTCGGCAAGTTGTACTGGGGTTTCTAAAGTCCCACCAAAACCCACAGTAATGTGGCTCAATTTCACCAAGGCAGGATTTGAAGACCTGATGGATGCCCACCCGAGGCTCAGAGCTGCTCCATCTGGGAATCCTGTGCTTGGGGCTGCATGGTGGCAGAAGAAGGGCCACAATTTGTGAGGAGGAGGGAGTCACTCCCAAAATCTGGAGAGATTTCCTCAATGCTCACTCCACTTCCCATCCCAGACAGCTGCAGGAGCGGAATTCCTGCTGTGCCACTCAGCCCATCCTCCTTATCCCTGCTTGCCACACAACCCAGCTGGATGGCAGTCCTGCTGGATGGAGCAGGGATCCGCTGCCACCCGAGCCACCCTGTCCTCAGGAGGTCACACGATGAGCTGCTGAACACGAGGAGATCCCACAGCCGGGGTGGCCTTTGGGCGGCTGAAACAACAACAGAGCTCGGCAGGGAAACCGCGGTCCTCCCTTCCCGCTGCCCGTGGGTAGCCATGGCAACGGTGGCAACAGCCCGGGCCACCTTGCGTGGCTTCCAGCCCTGCCCTTTCTGGGTGGGAAATGCCCGGGGCTCTTCCCAAAGCCCTTGTGATTGGTCCTTTGCCAAAGGAATTTTCAGAGCTTCCTCTCCAAAGGTGGCAGCAGCTCCGTGGCATTCCCAACACCCTGGCAGGGTGTGGGGTGGGTTTTCCCCCCTCTTGGAAGGCCTCCTGCCTTCCCCTGGATTTGTGGGAGTGCTGTTGTGCCCATCAGAAGCTGCTGAGGGCGTTGCAAACGCTCCCAGCACCTCAGTGCCAAGAGGTTCTGGGCCACCACAATGAAGCAGCTCAGGTGGCTTTTCCAGATAAATCCAATAGTGGTCTCTCAAATGATGGATGATTTGGGCAATTCTGATAATGCACCCAGTAGATATTTAAAATCAGCACTGCCAAGAGAAATTTTACTGCCCTGGCACTTCTTTGCACCGATGACTCTCCCTCTCCCTGCCCTGAACTGCCCAGGAGTGAAGCCCCCAGCCCCTCGCTGTCCTCCCGGGATCCCTGGACTCAGATCCCACAGATCCCTCCAGATTTTCAGTGTCATTGACACAAACCAACCCTGGCACAGCTGCCCAAAGCAGTGGTGGAGTCCTCATCCCTGGAGGGATTTAAAATCCCTGTGGATGTGGCACTTGGGGACGGGGGTCAGTGGTGGCCTTGGCAGTGCTGGGGAAGGTTGGACTCCATGATGTCAGAGGGCTTTTCTGACATTAATGATTCTGTGATTCCATGACACCTAGTGCTGGTTCTCTCAACTACAGCCTGAACCCAAATGCTGACAGATTTTATGGTGTGGATGATTTTGGGGTGTTCAGTGTTCTGATCCAGCTTCATCAGCCTCCATCTTTGTGAAGGTGACGAGGTGCCTACCCCGTGTTGTCCCAGCAGGAAGGGGTTCCATGGGCTCTGTCCACATCAGCACCAGAGCTGAGCAGCAGGAACAAATCCCTGAGGGGACCAGGATGGTGCTGAGGAAACCCCTGTGACAGGGCATGAGGGACATGGAGCATATTCCATGGTTTAGGAGAAAGGTGGGGAGGCCCTGGCACAGGTTGCTCAGAGAAGCTGTGGCTGCCCCTGGATCCCTGGAAGTGTCCAAGGCCAGGTTGGAGCAACCTGGGCTAGTGGAAGGTGTCCCTGCCCATGGCAGGGGGTGGAACTGGATGATCTTCAAGGTCCCTTCCAATCCAAACCATTCCATGAGTCCATGATAATTTCTCTGCAGCTCTGCCCTCCAGTTCCAGATCCCGGCTCGTTTGGTCACCAATTCCCTCCCTCTGATTTTTTTTATTTTATTTTTAGTTCTATCAGATAAAATATTGCTTCCCAGACCCTCACTCCTGCTTAGAATCCCAGACTGGTTTAGGTTGGAAAGGACCTTGAAGCCCATCCAGTCTCACCCCCTGCCATGGGCAGGGACACCTTCCACCAGCCCAGGTGGCTCCAACCTGGCCTTGGACACCTCCAGGGTTGAGGCACCTCCTGCACCCTTCGGTGTAGCCTGATAATAGGTCAGATGGAAGAAATGAGCTGCTGGAAGGAAAGTCCAGAGAAATGCTGCCCAATTCCAGTTGGCCCAGCTCCTTACTGGGCTGTGTGGGACGGGGTGCGGTGCCAGGCTGGGAACTGGGGCAAAAAGCGTGATGGATACAGGAGATTGGAGCTGCCAAAGTGGGAGGGGGGGAACTGGCAGCCACTGAAGCAAGTTCTGCCATCGAGAAGCTACTTGTGAAAAAAATACACATTTGCTGTCTTTTTTTTCTTTTTTTCTTTTTTTTTTTTTTTGCTGATGATCTTAATTTCGCCGAATGTGTAAGATTTGCTTTAGCAAAACAAATATCACTCTTGGGTTTTTGCCACGCCATGAATTTTTAATGCTTTATTAGAACGCTGGAGGGTTTCAGCCCAGCCTGTGACGGCTTAATTGAGTGAAATCCCGCTCCAGTTACCTGCCGGAGCCATCTGGCCTCAGGAATTAACAGCTGGGAAAACAAGCCTGGCTGCCAGATAATTCCATGCAAAACAGGTACCCCGTGCAAAAACCCCTCTTTGGAAGTTGTCTGCCCCTTCTTGCACAACGATGTTTATTTTTAGGAAAAGGTTTTAAGACTTTTTGGGATCGGGGGGGGGGGGCGGTTTTTCCTACACCAAAAGCCGGTGCTGAGCGCCAAAAAAGGGGGATTGCAGAGGGGAAAGGTGCGCCAAGGCTTTGTTGGTGTGTGGTCCTGAGAAGTGCTGGGGAGGCACAAGGGGGGCAGGAGGAGGGAGGCTTTACATCCGCCCTCGGAGAAAAAAAAAAATTTACATAAAATGTTAAAAAATTGACTAAAAAAAAATTGAAAAATATATCGGAAAAAATATATTGGGAAAAAATATATTGGAAAAAAAAAATTATTGGAGAAAAGCCCATGGGCGGCGGCGCTGCGGGGCAGGAGAGGTCCGACGCCCCGGGACCCGTTCCCGATCCCATTCCCGATCCCATTCCCAGGGGGAAGCTGCACCCGCGCCCTCGGCCGGCAGGGGGCGCCCGCCGCCCTGGCCACGCCCACCCGGCCGGCGCGAGGCGGCGGCGGCGACCAATCAGAGCGGGCGGGCGGGTCCCCATTCACAGAGCGGCGGGGCCATGAATGGGGCGGGTCACGTGGGCCGGGGCGTTCCCACGGCCCCCCGCGCTGCCCACCGGGAATGGAGCCGGGATCGGCGGGATCGGCGGGATCCGGGAACGGGCGCTGGGCCGCCACCGCCTGCGTGGTGACCGGCGCTTCCCGCGGCTTCGGCCGCAGCCTGGCGCGGCTGCTGGCGCCGCGGCTGGGCCCGGGCTCGCTGCTGGTGCTGCTGGCGCGCTCGGCCGAGCCGCTGGCGGAGCTGGCGGACGAGCTGCGGGGCACCGGGAGCACCGGGAGCACCGGGGGCTCCGGGGGCACCGGGCTGCGGGTGCTCAGCCTGACCGCGGACCTGGGCTGCGAGGACGGGCTGCGCAGGGCGATCGCTGCGCTGCGGGAGGTGCTGCCCACAGAGCCCTTCGGCCGCCTGATCCTCGTCAACAACGCCGGTAACGACCCGTCCGTCCCCTCCGTCCTGGCCCGGCACAGCGGGCATCGGCCCCGCAGAGCCCGCCCGTGGCTCTGCAGCGGCAGCGCAGCGGCTTGGTCGGTGCTTTGGGTGCCGGCGAGTAATCGGAAAGAGTAAATAACCCCAAGAACAGCGGGGATTTCACCCCATTTTATTGCAATAGTTGATTTGGGGAGCAGGTCGCTGCCGGGTCTTTGCTGCTCGCAAGGTTTTACCTGTTGCTCTTAAGGTTTTACCTGTTGCTCTTAAGGTTTTCCCTGCTGCCTGTGGTACAGGACCACCTGGCTGCCCTCTTGTCCCTCTGCTCCCCGAATACAAACCTTCAGACCAACTTCCAGCCCTGCCTTGTGCGTCCTTCCTTGCACTTTTAATGCCTACAGTGCCTTTTTCACCCTGTACATCAGACGGTGTGTTCCTGTAGGGAAAAGGTGCTCCAGGACTTGGGTCTTTCTTCGGTGGCTTGGTCATGAAGAGGGACCTGCGGGAGGGCACAGGGTGGCCCGTGGGGACGTTGTACCCCAGGCTGGAGGTTGGGAGCTGTTTGTTTTGGCAGGCCAGGTCCCTGCCCCGTGTCACTGCTGGTTCAGTGGGTGACCCAAAAGCAGAGCTGGGCTTTGCTGAGCTCCTCAGGCTGCTGTGGGACCCTGCCAGAGACGCTTTGGTCTGTGTTGCTCGTGGAATGTAGGAGCAAAAGGGCTGTGCTGGGTTGTTGAACCCCTCTGCAACTCTTAACTCATTTGTCCGGCTTTGGAAGTGTCCAAGGCCAGGTTGGACAAGGCTTGGAGCGACCTCATCTAATAGAAGGTGTCCCTGGCCGTGGCAGGGGGTGGAACTGGATGAGCTTCAGGTCCATCCCACCCACGCCATTCCACGATTTCTAGGCTCCCTGGGAGACGTCTCCAAATCCTTCCTGGACCTCACCGACCCGGATGAGATCAACGCCTACCTTGCCTTCAACGTCACCTCTGCGCTCTGCCTCACCTCCACGGCCCTGCAGGCCTTCGGGAGGCGGCCTGGCTCCCGCAGGACCGTGGTGAACATCTCCTCCCTCTGTGCCCTGAAGCCCTTCAGGAGCTGGGCTCTGTACTGCAGCGGGAAGGCTGCCAGGGAGATGATGTTCCAGGTGCTGGCACTGGAGGAGCCCGATGTCCGTGTGCTCAGCTACGCCCCGGGTGAGCAGAGCAGCTCAGGGATTGCTGCTGGTTTTAGGGGGGAAGGAGGGGGTAAAAGATTCCTGTGGCCAAGCCAGGAGCAGAGGGGAAATTAGCCCTGGATTTTCCTGTCTGCTCGAGTGATTTGTGTTTTGGTGCTCTGTCCCCAGGTCCTCTGGACACGGACATGCAGCTCCTGGCCCGGACCGAGACGGGAGACCCCGAGATGCGTCGGTACTTCCAGAGCCTGCAGGAGAGCAGCAAGCTCATAGACTGCACTGTGTCAGCCCAGAAGCTGGTGAAGCTCCTGGAGGAGGACACCTTCCAGTCCGGAGCCCACGTGGATTTCTATGACATCTGAGCTCCTGTCACCTCCACCCTTTGCCTTCCCGCTTTGCTTCCTGCCGAGCCATGTCCTGGGTGTCTCCAGTGTGGTTGGTGACCTGGTTTGAGTCTTGGGAAGATTTCAGAAGCACCTCTGGGTGTCTTATAAATACTCCTGGTGCCTTGGTGGGGATTGGGGGGCAGTTACTGCTGCTGAGCCCTGCAGGGGACCCACTGGCAGGAGCAGGGATCCCTCAGCTCCTGGGCCTGGGGGAGCACAGGGGGATTTTCCAAGGGAATGGACGTGGAGCTTTAAAACTCAACCTGCACAGGAGTGAGCCAGGGAGATGCCAAGGCAGAAAAAGGTCTCTTCTGGCCATCCCAGAAAGTCTCAACAGCAAGGTTAGAGCTGAGTGTCCCCACATCTGTCCCTTTGTCCCACAGGAGTGCCTGAGCGAGACTCCAAAGAGCCATTCCTGGGGCTGGAGGTGGTGGATGTCACTCCAGAGCCCTTACCCTCTGCTCACCAGTGGGTTGTCCAAACTGTCCCACCGTCCTTGGACTGTCTCTGTGTGAATTTTGAATGTTAAGACATGGACCAAAGCCCCTCCCAGTGTTTTATCCACGAGTCACCAGGAGAGGGAGGGAGCTGGCCTTGGAGGAGATGGGAATTTTGGGTGCCTGGCTGGGGTCACCAGCTCACACAAACCTGGTCAGAGCACAGCCAAGACACAGCCCTGAGTTCGTGCCACGCTCCTGTTCGCAGGTTCTGGGTCCAAACCTTGGTCTGGGCCTTCAGCCCCTCCTGGATTGCCCTTCTGATTATTTGTGGGGTTTTATTGTTGTTTCCCCATCAGATTCCAGGAGGCACAGGCACGTATAAGTCTTGCCCTTCTAGAAAGCAGAGTGTGTTGATGCAGGAAAGCCACTTTGAAGCACAGGGGCATTCCCTGTGTGCCCTGGAAATGCCCGGTGTCCCTCTGTGCTCCCTTCCTGCAGTCCTCTATCTCAGCCCTGTATCTCAGATTCTGTCCACCTGGGTCCACAATCATTAAAAGTTTCCTGTCTGGTCTGGGATTTCTGCTGTGTCTTTAAAAGTGGATGAATTCTTGGGAGTGGGGGAGGACAAATCCTGGGTTAAGCACTTCATCCAACAAGGCACCACTGTGCCCTCTTGGAGTCCTGCTCCTTGGAGCCGTTTCATTAATTCCATGTTAACTTAATCCTGCCAAGCTCATAAAACCCTCCTCTCCAGCCAGTGCTGCTGCTTGGTTTCATCTTCCCTCTCTGCTGTGTTTATTTTCAGTGAAAGCCTCTCCCACAAGGCTCAAGGAGCCCTTTATTGCAGGAGGAGGTGGGAGGGTGCTGGGGGACAGGGACCACTTGGAACCAGCCAGGTGGGAGATGCAGGTGGTTCTTCAGGGTAAAACACATAAAAAGCAGCCATGAAGGAGGGTTATTTTGGACTCTGAATACTTGCTTGAGGTCTGACCACCCTCCAGTGTCTGGGGGTGTATCAGCAGCTCTGTGGGTCCTCTTGGAGCATCTGTGTGAGGGGTTGTGCCACCTGAAACCAGCAGGGTGCTTCTGTCCTGATAATGAAATCATTACTGAAACTCTGGATTTGATTCAGGGAATGGTTTGGATTGAAAGGGACCTTCAAGCTCATCTAATTCCAACCCCTTGCCACGGGCAGGGACACCTTCCACTGCTCCAACCTGGCCTTGGACACCTCCAGGGATCCAGGGGCAGCCACAGCTTCTCTGCCCAACCTGGGCCAGGGCCTCCCCACCCTCACAGGCAGCAATTCCTTCCCAATATCCCAACTAACCCCGCCCTCTGGCAGTGGGAGGCCATTCCCTGTGTGCTGTCCCTCCATGCCTTGTCCCCAGTCCCTCTCCAGCTCTCCTGGAGCCCCTTTAGGCCCTGCCAGGGGCTCTCAGGTCTCCCTGGAGCCTTCTCTTCTCCAGGGGAACCCCCCCAGCTCTCCCAGCCTGGCTCCAGAGCAGAGGGGCTCCAGCCCTGGCAACATCTCCGGGGCCTCCTCTGGGCCTGCTCTGACAGAACAAAAATCAATCTTGCTGCCCCCATCCTTGTAACCAGGGAACTCCACAGCTGCTCCCAGGGGACACCTGGCAAACATCAGGCACATCCCAAGCGCAAGTCCTGTGGCTCTGGCAGAGGGGCTGGGGCTCAGGCTGCTGAGTTTGGCAGATGAAGCAACCCTGTGCTCCCAGCTGCAGGGAGGAGGTTTGTCTGCAGTGTGATCACTCCATGTTTTGTGCTCCAAGCTCCATCCCCTGGGTACCCCCATCCCCTGGGTACCCCCATCCCCTGGTACCAGCACACTGTGGACACCACCATCCCCCGGGTACCAATATCACCCCAGGGAGCAGCATCCCCTCTCCCGGGAGTGGGGGCTCTGGGTCCTACCGACACCTGCGCACCCGTGGGCGCTGTGAAACGCGACGGCAAAACGTCCCGAGATGTTTTTCTCCCCTTTCCCGGCATTTTCTGTGCCCAGCGGAGGGCGCACCGAGACCGGGGAACGGAACCAGAGAAGCGGAGAGCCGGGAATGTGCCTCTGGAAAAGCCGCGGGATGCCAGGTGGGGATGGAGAGGAATTCCAGCTCCGACTCCTTTCCTGCCTCTGCACCGGCTCGTCACTGATGCCTGTGAAGACTCATATTTTTAATTAATGCTCCATGTCCTGGATCCATGGGGCCGTTCCAGAGGCTCGATTCGGAAGGGGAGGGCTGAAAAAAAAAAAAAAAAGGTGTTTAAAAATAAAGAAGTTTTGAGCTCTCCTAATTCCAGGAGCTCACAGCTCACCTGGCAAGGTGCATCCAAGTATCCAAACGGACCAAGGAGCTCCAGTATTTGAACCCTGTGGCTGAAGGGAGTCACCCCCAAATTATCCCTCATCTACTCCACCCCAGACAGAGCCAGGGGTTCTGTTCTCCCTGTCAGGGGCCAACTGGGGCTTGTCAAGCCCAAAATCCTGCCTGGCATGAGTTATTGCTCCAAGTGGATCTGCCCTCTCCTCAGCTCTCACTCTGCTTCCTGTGGTAAAATCCCGTGCAGGGCATTTTATCCCTTTTCCCACTGTTTTCCCCTCTTTTCTGCCTGAAAGCTGGAGCATGAGCTGTGAGATCCCATAAAGTGCTGCACAGAGAATCCCTGGGATGGCCTGCACAGCAGTTTGGGGCAGGAAGGGAGGGCTCTGGGTGATATTTAGGGGTGACACCGCCCAAGTGCCCCATCCCAGGTCCCCAGGGGACCCTCCCAGTGCCCCCCTCCCCATGTGAGGGGACACACTGTGCCCTTTGTGCCTGTGGTGAACTGGGTTATGAAAGGAGTCAAAGTCACTGCTGGGGTTTTGTTTCCATGAGTGTGACCTGGTCCCCGGGACAGGGGTGAGGCTGAGCCCCCTAAATCCCCCCCAAAGCCTCCCAAATTAAAACCTGCGCTCACCAATGACCTCCCAAATCTCGGCATTGCCCCGGGCTGCCCCTGGCCCGGGGTGGGGGGTGGTGAGAGGCTGCAGGCAGGTCCCTCTGCCCCTTATTAAAGGTTTCTCAGCAGAGGGGAGAAGATGACCTTTATTTTCCCGTGCAGAAATGCTGAGCTCGGGTGTTCCAGCCGGGACTCCGAGTGCCCAGCGAGCTCCTGGCTCACAAACAAGAGCTGCCTTTGCCCCAAGGCCAAAGGTAAACGAGCTGTTCCTGTCCAAGGTGCTCCCAGGGAGGGGGGAAAGGTCTGGTGGTGCCCACACCTCCCACGTAGGGCCCCCCATCCTGCGGGCACATCCCCCCGAGGTGCCCGTGGAGACACATCCAGCCATCCCAAAGGCTCCCACCTCTCTGTGAGACAAATGTAGGGAACCACAAACGTAGGGAATTCCCTGGGCTGTGGCTGGGGTTTGGTGGGTGTTCACTGAGCCTGAGAGGGTTGGAACAACAAAGGTGTTTCTGCTGAGCTGGCACCGTTCTCATGGACTCTTCCCACGAGACTGAACATTCCTGCTCCTCCTGTCCCTCTTCCCAGTCCTCACTCTCAGCCCAGTGACCCCTGGGAGCAGCTGTGGAGTTCCCTGGTTACAAGGATGGGGGCAGCGAGACTGATTTTTGTTCTGTCAGAGCAGGTCCAGAGGAGGCCCCGGAGATGCTGCCAGGGCTGGAGCCCCTCTGCTCTGGAGCCAGGCTGGGAGAGCTGGGGGGGTTCCCCTGGAGAAGAGAAGGCTCCAGGGAGACCTGAGAGCCCCTGGCAGGGCCTAAAGGGGCTCCAGGAGAGCTGGAGAGGGACTGGGGACAAGGCCTGGAGGGACAGCACACAGGGAATGGCTTCCCACTGCCAGAGGGCAGGATCTGGAGCATATGTCCTATGAGAAGCAGCTGAGGGAGCTGGGAGGGCTCATCCTGGGGAAAAGGAAGCTCAGGGGGGGCCTTCTGGTTCGGCAACTCCCTGACAGGAGGGGGGAGCTGGGGGGGGGTCAGGCTTTGCTCCCAGGGAACAGGGACAGGAGGAGAGGGAACGGCCTCCAGCTGTGCCAGGGGAAGTTTCTGTTGGGCATTCTTCACAGAAAGGGTGGTCAGGCCTTGGCAGGGGCTGCCCAGGGAGGTTTGGAGTGCCCAGCCCTGGAGGTGTCCAAGGAAGGCCTGGCTGTGGCACTCAGTGCTCTGGGCTGGGGGACAGGGTGGGGATGGGGCACAGGAGGACTCAGTGATCCCAGAGGTCTTTTCCAACCTAAATAATTCTGTGATTCTGTCAGATTGAATATTGGGAAGAGATTCTCTACTTTGAGGGTGGAGAGGCCCTGGCACAGGTTGGCCAGAGAAGCTGTGGATGCCCCTGGATCCTTGGAAGCATCCAAGGCCAGGTTGGATGGGGCTTGGAGCAACCTGGGCTGGTGCAAGGTGTCCCTGCCCATGGCAGGGGTTGGAACAAGATGATCCTTAAGGTGCCTTCCAACCCAAACTGTTCCATGACTCACGTTCCATGGAGGAGCCATTTAATGAGTAACAAGGGCCCTGTTGGTCCAGCAGGAGCAATGACAGATTAACCCAGTTTAGAGCCAAAGAGCAGCTGGTTTGCTGGTAAACTGTGCTGTTCCTGCGAGCTTCAAATGCCTTTAATGAGTTATTATTTAGTCTGCTATGGAGGTTAATGGGGGGGACATGGCAGAAATGATCTGTGATTAATTAAACCCTCTTTATTTGGTGCAGCCAGAGCAGCTGGACTCACTGGGATGGGAGCTAAGCTGGGACCAGCTCTGGATCCCTGACTGGTGATTCAACCAGGCTCTGCAGACCAACAGCACCTCCATCCTGGTGGGAAAGAGCTGCCACAAATAGGAAGTTTTCCCTGGGTTTTTTTATGCACCACCCCAAAGGCAGACTTTGTCCCACTTGCTGCCAGGCCATGTGGGATAAAACTGGGTGCACTTCAATCCTCCTTCCCTAAATCATGGAATCACAGAATGTTCAGGGGTTGGAATGGGCCTTAAAGATCATTTAGTGCCAATCTCTTGCCATGGGCAGGGACAGCTTCTGCTAGACCAGGTTGCTCAAGGCTTTATCCAACCTGGCTTTGTACTCTTCCAGGGTTGGGGCATCCATAGCATCCCTGGGCAACCTGTGCCAGGGCCTCGTGACCTTCACAGTAGAGAACTTTTTCCTAATATTTACCCTAAATTTCCCCTCTTTCAATTTGTACCCTTTCCACCTTGTCCTATCCCTCCAGTTCCCAGAAGCTGGATGTCAAGGTGAAGGCAGGTTGAGGCCAAGCTGCTCCCGGTGCCTCCCCTGGGATTTGGGGACATCGTCTCATCCCAGCATCATCTCATCCCAACACCATCTCATCCCAACACCGTCTCATCCCAACACCATCTCATCCCAATACCATCTCTGGTCCTCTTTCCCCCCAGCAAAGCCACAGATTCAGATCAGTTCATCCCTCCTCCTCCTCCTGCTCCTCCTCCACTCCCATCACCCACAGCCCATCCATCATCCTCCCCCCGCCCCCAAAACCCTCCCGTGCTGGGGGGCTCAGCCCTTCCCCAAGCACCCAACAAACCC